ACGTGAGTTCATTCTTACACTCGATGCGAACTGACAGGGAAGACTGATCATTCGGTAGGACTCGATATCCCGGCTCAAACACAGATCGATATTTTTTGTTGCTCGAGGTAAGAGAGAGGTGCTTTTGACAACGTCCTGTACTCACGTAGCCTATGCTGACGAACCTCCGCAAGGTGTGCTCATTCGAGAGCACCAAACCCCGTCTGGCTGTACCGGCACGGCCGAGCGAGCATTGCGTCCTTCTACCCAGTACCAGACGATCGATGCGTCCAACATCTTTCATGGGCATGATCCAGACGGAAGTCGCCCTACTTTCAAAGACACGCCTCGAGCACCGGCGCCGTTCGGCACGGCGCCGGCCATTTACAAGGCGTCCGATCCCACCTTTGACTTCTGCAAGCCAGGCGAGCGCAAGTGCGCCGTGTCCTGGGGCGTCAGGATCGTCAACAGTGAGAAGATTTACATCTACGGCGCCGGTCTGTACTCGTGGTTCGACAACTACGACCAGGCGTGCGTCGGCACGGAGGACTGCCAGAGGCGCATGGTGTCCATCGAGACGAGCAGCGATATCTGGATTTACAGCCTCATCACCAAGGCGACGATCGAGATGATCAGCCCCGTGGGCGGAGTGGCCGTCCTCGGCAAAGACAACAAGATCAACTACTGCGACGTCGTCATGGCCTGGCTGGGCAGCGCCACGGGCGGGAGCGCGAGCAAGGGCGTCATCTACCGCTCGCCCATCTCGGCGACTGTCATTCCTCTGTCGGCGACGACGGTGCCCAAGGGCGCCACGCTGACGATCGACCGTCCCGTGGCGAGCAACGTCGTTTCGCTGCCCAAAGATGGCAACCAGAACCAGCCCAAGGGTCCTGGAGCGTCAAAGTGCAACGTACGTTGGAGCCCCCTGTCATCTGGAGATCCACGCCGCTGGAAACAGGAGATCAACCGCTGACACTGAGTGACATAGACCTGCGATCTGGCCCGCGCCATATCCTCAACGTGCTGCGGCACGGGAGGCAGCTTGGGCAACCCCATCAATGTTCCCGCCGGCGTTCCGATCCCGAGGCCTTTCCTCCTCCCGCCCGGCTTTGTTCCCAACCAGCCCATCGTCGACACGGCCGGCAAAGAGTGGCAGGCCGGCGTTCCCTTGACGCAAGAAGTCGAGGTCCCAGCGGGCACAGTATTCACCTTCCCGCTCATCGTCCCGGCAGGCCTCCCTTTCAGTGACAAGTACACACCCGAGGAAAACCAGGACGACGACGACAGCGGCGCCCTCTACCTGCCTGCCGACTTCTGGGAGGGCGAGCACACCGTCAGCTGCCGGTACCCTTGCACCATCGTCTACCCGCCGTCGGCCACGACGACCACCTGGATCCCACCGCCGCTGACGACGGTGGTCAGCAGCCAGACCATCACGTTCACGGTCGAGAAGCAGACGACAGAAAAGGTGCACATCTCCAAGACGACGGTCAAGACGGAGAGCGGCTCGCAGCCGACCGTCATTGTGGCTCCCGTCCCGGCGCCCAAGCCTCTCTGCATCAGCTACACGATCCCCGTCGTCAACATCAAGGTCAAGTTCGGTCTCTGCCCGCCCGACCTCAAGCCGTTCCCCCCTCCGATCCCCAAGGTCACCATCATTCCCGTGCCCCCCGGCGGCAAGCCGGGGCCCACGACGCCTGGCAACAAGCCTTCGGAGGAGCAGGAGCAGCAGGAGGATGACGAGACGCGCGACAACCCGGTGTGCCCCTTTATCCCGTACATCTCGGACGACTACGACTCGGGCCTTCCGGGGTACAACCCCTTTGACCCGGAAAACTACGATCCGGACACGGACAGCTACCCGTGGAAAAACGGCGGCAGCGGGAACAACGGCGGCGGCGGCAGCAGCAGCGGGCCGGGCGCCGGCACGGGAACGCCCAAGACGACGACGATCCCCGTGCCGCCCAAGACGACGCGCACGACGACGGCCACGACGCCCGTGTCGACGAGCAACCCGGTGCCCAAGCCGACGGACCCGCCCAAGCCGAAGCCGCCGCAGCCGGGCACCAACAAGGCGACGTGCTGGGGCAGCGGGCGGCAGGTGTACGGGCACGAGCTGCAGGACGCGCTCAACAAGTTCTGCGACTACGCCGACGGCACGCGCATCCACAGCAACCAGGAGTTCGCCATCGCCAAGTCCGGGTCCTGGTGGTCGATGCTGCACGTCGGCGTCACGGGCAAGAACAACTGCGAGTTCACGATCCGCGCCCAGGAGTGCAAGGACATCCTCAACGAGGTCGTCGGCTGCAAGCCCTACAGCGCCTCGCTGCTGCGCATCGGCGGCTACGTCGAGAACAACTGCGCCGTCTGGAACCTCGATCCCGACGCCAGCCTCGACGGCGAGTGTCCGCCGATCCCCATTCCCCTTTTGCGCTTGTTCTGCGCCGCAAAGCGCGTGTTTGACTAGGTCGAGCGTCGGCGCTTGGATCTGGGGACGGAGGCGGCCTCGATGGCTTGGGGCGTCCGGGATACGCAAAGCATGTTCATAGTATCATAAAAAGTGTAGTCGCGTCCATAGCATGAATCAATTTCACACGTTCGTTATCATGTGCCGTGAGTCCGTCCACAGGCGTCTGGCAGATCGCAACCGAAGGAGGCGCTTTCAATATTCGCACAGCCCCTCTTGGTATTGACTTTGGCAACCATTCGTCCAGGGGGAACGTTCGTCCAGGAGAACACAATGTGCTATCAAACGAGACCCCAGAGAGCATGGGTCGCCAGGCCGACTGGCAAGGATCATCGACTTCACAGCACCGAGACTGCCGGCTTCGAACCGGGCCCCGAATCCCCTCACTCTTCCGTCTCGCATGTACACCGTCCAGAACTAGCGAAAGCCTCAAGCCTTGTATTTGTCACACGTTCACACGTCAAGAGCAGCCTTCCCCCGTCTGCATGATGCACATGTACCCCTTAACCGCATCGGCGCCCTTCACTGCAGGGGCCGGACCCCGAACCCCCGACCCCCGGGGCTGTGCGCGCAAACGCCACGTCCTGAGATCTGATATCTTTGCGCCGGTCCTTGTCGCCCGGGATCACTTGTTGCGCTGCTTTCTCTTGACTCGACCAACATGACTCTTGTCTGCCGAGGGATGCCGTGGCCGTCACCCACAGTCGAGATGCGGACGATGCTCTTCAACAGGCAAGGAGCGACAAGCCGGCCCCTCACGCAACCGCTGAGACGACATGCTCGGTACCAAGTTTGGGCTTGCCGGTGATGGGACGAGTCCGGACGGAGAGTCGTCCAGATCCCCGGGGGGGACAGCAAAGCACCCTCTGCCGTTCGGCCTCGTGGTCGTCTCGTGGTCATGCCGTGTCATCTTATGTCTCGGCCGAGGGCCATACCAACATAAGGCCCGCGCCACGACGTTGCTTTTGCCGATCAGACCCATCCGTGCTGACGGGGGGGGGAGCATGCTCCTGGTGTTTTGTGATGGATATGCACTGCTGCTTCGAGCCTCGTGACAAAAGCAGGCAACCTATCCTGTGCATCTCCTCCCACCACTGCTTCATGCATCACATCGAACGCAACGACAGCAGAAGTCCCACCTGACTGACTCTGCTTGCTCTCTCTTCGTGGAAAGCCTCCGGGCCGCATGAGAGAACCCTCGGGCCTCCTCTGCCAACCCCCGCCAAGCGAACCATGTTCTAGACCAGCAGACGCCTATGTCGCCGCGTGAGAGAGAGAGAGAGAGAGAGATGGGAAATCACAGGATGCCATCCCCTTTCTGCCTCGTGAACCCACACCCTTGGCCCCTCCCTCCAAGACCTACCTCCCTACCGTACGCTCGGAGACCACCGCCGACGCCTTCTTCGGGACTGAATGAGCCGAGTTTATCGCGCCCCGAAAGACGCCGTCCCTCCTCCGGCGGCCGCGCCGTCCGAGAAGACATCTCCACTCGTCCATGCTCGCCTGTCCCGAGAAGCCGGGAGCCACATCCGTGCGCGACGCCAGTCTGCGCCTTTTGTCTGCGTCTGTCCGCCTGTCTGCCCCTTGAGCAACCACACAGTTTGGGCGCCAGTCCGTGCATCAATTCATCCGTCTCAGGGCGCGCCGGTGCTAGAGTGCTGCAGGTGCTCGTCCCAGCGCTGGGCTGTGGGCAAAGGCCGGGCTTTCTTAAAGTTTTCGAGATCGGTGGTGCCTGGCGTGGTAGCTATGTTCAGATGTGACGACTAGGTGTCGCCGCTATATGAAATGCATCGAAGAAGTACTTTGGGTGCTGAGAAATCGACTGGCCGCAACAGGCCGCACCAAAGCGCATGTCCCTTAGGCTCCTCATCATGTGGGATGTGTGGAGATGGCATCGTTATTGGTGTTTGCATGCAAATTACTCGTCAGAGTGCAGAAACAGAAACGATTCGAACGCGAACTCAAGGTCACTCGAGGTTTGAGAATTCGCGTTCGAAAAGCACTTGCATCCACGGACGCAAAAAAAAGAAAAATTGAAAAGTAAAAAAAACTCTAAAAAAGAAAACTCGCAATTTTTGCTAATCACTGGGCTGTTCACTCGGTGCAATAAGAATATAAGAAGGAGGGAAGCAAGACTAGACTAGCAAAAGCACCCCCACGCCACCGCCGTATCAATATGTGCCGTGACCATCATGACCGGCTCTACGTGGCCCTACCTACGATGACAAGGTGTTGTACATGACAAAACGTGCAAAACCAGCCCATCAGCGTCTCGCACCACGGCTTGCAAGCAGAATGCCGTCGGTCCCGTAGGTCCGGTGATACAGGTCGTTGATTTGCTGAAGCATCTCCACCGGACAGAGAGCCTTGTACCTCTGGCCCCAGCCTTGGACCGTGGGCAGCTTCACGGGGCGGCCTCGGTTGCTTGTTGCGATGAACTGTGCAGATACGCGACAGCGTTCGAAGCGTCGTACTGGCGGCCGGTGCCCTGGGTGATGCGGCTGACCTTTTTGATAAAGGCATACTCCCAGGGCGCGGCGACGACCTTGAGCCCTGGCTGCCGGAACAGCACGGCGTCCTGGGCGACGGCCGCCTCGACAAGGCTGTCGATATTCTCGACGACGCCCGGCATCCTGGCCGTGGCGTTGTTGAGCCAATCGGCGCTCAGGGGCACGGAGCTCCTCTCGACGGCGTACTGACCCGCCTGACGCAGGATGCCGAGGCGAGGCTGCTGGAGCACGCGGCAGAAGAAATCAACGTCGTGGGTTGTGGTGCGCGACTGCAGGAGGACCGTGTTGACGGCGCCGCCGACCGTCACGAGCGTCACGTCCTCGCCATGCTGATGGAGATAACGAGCGACGTGGCCGAGGGCGGCCATGAGATTTTGCCGTGTCAGGTCGTGCGGCGCATAGTTCACCCACAGGCCGTGCGCGTCCCGTTCCGGAGCCGGCACCTGGCCCGGGGGCGTCACCGGCCCGCTAATGGCGACGGGTTGCAGTGGGATGTTTTGGTGCTGGCGGCGGCTGCCGGCCGTCTCGGCCCGTTGGCGTCGGCGTGGAGGGGGCTGCTGCTCGTCCGACTTGGACCCGAGGCACATGATGTGAGGCAGCTGAGGCGTAGATTCGTACGATGGGTCGGGATAGACACGCCTGGTACGCCAACATACAATTGAAAGAGACAGAGACAGAAAAAGGGAGTAAGAGAGAGAGAGAGATACAGGA